ATCCAGGGGCCCCAGCCCCTTGTGGGCCTTCCTGCGGGTGGTGGGCCCACTAGGAGCCATGTTGACACGTCAACATGGCTGACTAGGTTCATTCGGATACTTGAACCCCTCCACCACGTTAAGGTTGCGGTTCAAGGAGGGGTAAATAATACAAATTATAATAAATTAAAATAGCCTAAATTCTGTCTCATTGTCCAACTGGAAAGCTTTATTCACTGAAAAACCACCTTAGAGTCCAGCATCACCATCTGCACCAAAACTGTTCACCTTCACTAAGGGAACATCTTCAGCCCTCACTTACTCTGCCTCTCCGCTGCAGAAACTCTCATTCACCTTTTATCACATCCAAATTCCACTTCTGCATCAGCTCTCCAACAAACTCCTCCATAAACTGTCCAAAGCCCTACTGCAGGTCTGCAGACCCACACCAGTTCCTCCTCTCACAACCACATCACTTCTGTTCTCTTGAAACTCCACTAGCTTTCAGCACCGCAGCACTTCATCCAATTTAATCTCCTTCGATGCTCCTTCACATCGAGAGGAGTCAGCTGAGGTGGCTTGGGCATTTACATCGCATGCCCCCCAGACGCCTCCCTCAGGAAGTGCTCGGGTCCTGTCCCTCTGGGAGGAGACCTAGGGGAAGGCCTAGGACATGCTGGAGCGACTACGTCGCTCGGCTGGCCTGGGAGCGCCTTGGGGTCCCCCCAGAAGAGCTGGAGAAAGTGTCAAGGGACAGGGAAGTCTGGGTGTCCCTGCTCAGACTGTTGCCCCCGCGACCCGGCCCCGGATAAGCGGTTGATGATGGATGGACGGATGGATGGATAATTTGTATTTATTATGTATTCTCTCAATCTTTTGACAAGATTTAACCAAAATAAACTGTAAGTAGATTGGATGTCACTTTAAAATGTTCTAATGTGGAGATAACACCACAGATAAGAGGTTATATTTAAATTTGGTAAATAAACCAGATCAGGCATGGGCAAACTAGGGCTCAGGGGCCAGATGGGGCCTGTTTGGCTTTTTAATCCGGTCCGCCAAACTATCCAAATTATGTTATTAATTTATATTATCATTATACTTCTGCCTTTTTCCTGCAATGCTCACATTTCCCCAATATATGGCTAAAAGCATTTTAGCCTTTATGCATTACTTTTACATTTCATTTACGTTAGTTTACACGAATCTACCTGGTCCTGACCCAGCCCCCCTGTCAAATTTTAGGACCTATTATGGCCCATGAGTCAAATGTTTGCCCACACCTGTACCAGACCCTGGGAAAAACATTTTTGTAGGATTAAGCTATATTTGATGGTCAGACTGAGGATTTTAACAGAACTCCTCTGACCCTCCTCTTCTCAAAAACAGAGGAAAATGACTTTCACATTTTCCTCTGATTTTCCAGACCTTAGAAATATGGTGAAAATTAAAAAAACAATTACGGTACATAAAAACCTCAGGCATGAGTGTAATTGTTCTATTGTGTATCTAATTTTTTCTATTTTATTTAACATTATTTTGTTTGCAATTATTTTATCCATCCATCCATCCATTTTCATCCACTTATCCATTACCGGGCAGCAATCTCCATGACTGCCACCCAAATCACACTGCACCGTACCAACCCCCCAAACCTTCCTGCGGGTGGTGAGTCAACTGGAAGGCACCAACGGCTCTAACCGGGA